TTATAATGGCAGTCACCACATTCCTATATTCAACAGGTATTTATTGAATCTTTATGGTGAGCTGTCGTAAATGCTGTGACTGGTACAGATACAGTTCCTAAAATCTAAGTATTATACAGTTCAGAATAAATAAACTCAAGCAAGAGAGTAATTTGCTTTGCTTTGTTATAGTTTTCAAAAATGGACACAAATAGAATTCATAATTAATAATACAAATAGGCCATATCTGTGGCCAGACAGCTTTATTCATGATTTATAGTTTGTGCCCTCTGGTTGTTTTTAAAACTTAATTTTTTTCCCAGAAAGAATATTTAAGAAGGAAGTCATAAATATCTATAACACTATGACTTTTAAGTCAGATAATAGACATCTAGAATCTTCAGGGCATAGCTACAGCTTTAGAATCATCTGAGTAAATTGAAAAAATTGGAGAAATGCATATCTATCCAACCAGAGCTTTAGAGAATTTGCCTTTGTCACGATGGTTATTTTTATTGTGGTAGTTGCTTTTGTTTCTGGCAAAGGGCAATCCTTGGAGACTTTGTACTAGAAAAGGACAAAGCAAAGTGGGTGTTTTGGTTTTGCTTTATTTTGTTTTGATTGTTCTTTGTTTGTTGCCATTACTTTCTTCTTACAATCACTTGTCCGTGATCACCCTCTTTTCTGCTTTTTTCCAATTGCCCTGTTGAGGTGTCTCCATGTCAAATGCAGCTCCTTTTTCAGGACTGAAAATGGCAGTGCCGAGGGAGCTGTGCAAGTCTAATCGAAGCTGGAAGATTTCCTCCATCCTCCCTCCACCCCCTAGGAACCCAAACTGACTCTTCAGGAACATTTTCACAGACTTACTAGGTTGCAACCCTGAAGGTGTTTTGCTGTTTTGACCTTAGAATTTTGTGAGACATTTTAGTGTGTTTGTGTGTGTGCGCGCACATGCGCACGCTTAAGCAAAGGAGTTACTTGTGCCTTAAAAAAGTGAATTTTTCTGCCTAAGCAAAAGGTCAGGCACTGCAGTTAACCCAGAGTAAAATGTTGATGAAGGGCTCACTTCTACTTTAGTCAGGATGAGTTCAGATCTTAGGAGGGCAATAGGTGAATTGCTTAAGCTGGGTACTGTTGTGTTTGTGCCCTATCCTCCTATGAGGACTGGTTACTTTGTTGCATATGTGAGTTACGTGTCTATAAACACATGCTGCAGTTACTCCCCCATGGTCTTACTTTCTTGAAACTACAGCCAGAATATAGCTTGTACTATCAAATATGAAAAAATGATATAATTGAATGAAAAAGAAAGCTGAAGGACAATCCAAGAATAATATAAACAGAAGTTATTTTAAAACATTAGAGGGAGTGCTTTATGCAAAAGAGAAACTGAATTTATTGTTTCATTCTCTTTTCTCCCCCCTACCCTTTTCAAGAAAACGTAAAGCCCCAAGTGAGTGGTTGTATGTGTCTGATGGCTTATATAAACATAGAAGAAGTCTTCAGATGGCTAAAATAAACATGTGCGTGTTACTGAGGGATATGTTTACACAAACCATTTGCTCAGCCTCTGAAATAATGAATAAATGAAGATTTTACTGAAATAATTGGAAGGATTTTTGTGTTTCTGCTGATGCCATAATTGAATGGCACCAAAGAGACTTTTATCAGCTATTTTCCATGTTACATGTGTTAGCAGTTCCTTTCTATGAGTTGAATGCTTCATCCTGTAGTTACTTCACACATGTTTTTGTAAGAAATTGTCGTTTATTACTGCAATTCTAGAGAGTTGCTTGATTTCCCAAGAGAAATTTAGCAGCCAGTAAAGGTTATTTGGATCTGGTTGGTCAGGAGAGGGAGGGCAAAAAGAAAGGGGTAATAGCGTTCATTTCATACATGTAACTTAATTTGCATAACACTGCCCTCGACCATTGTCCTTGCTTTGTCCATAAAATTTTCTTTTGAAAAATGTATGCTCTAAAAAGGCTTAAGAATGAATATTTAAACAAAACAATTTGCAATATTGGGTTGCAAACCATATGTTTGTATGTACATACATGTGTTTGCATGTACATACATGTGTTTGCATATGTGTCGTGTGTGTATGTATGTGTGTATCTCCACATATATGTGGCATGTGTATGATAAGGGCAGTATGTATCCTGTCCCTTAAATGGTATTAAGAGTTAACTTTTATTTCAACATTACACTTAGACCATCCCTGTGAATTCACTAGGTTAGCATTTCCTGCTCTCAGTTTGTTATCTTGACACATAACTACAGTACAACAGCTGGGTTGTTCCTGGAGTTCCTGGGGGGAGCTTTATTCTCCGAGTGCTGAATTTCCTTTTCAGCTGTCAGCTCTAAAGTGTGTTCAAATGTTCTACTTTTTATACACCAGTCTGGGCCCCTAGCACCACTCTGGGACTATGATAGAAATGCTGATAAGGTAAATGAATGGAAGAATCTTTGGTTGAAGGTGGAGAACTGCAAAAGCCAAAACTGCACATGACCATTGTTTGGTACTGGCGCTGCTAACTAGGGCTGCTCGTTGTATTTGAATATTCTATTTAAGGGAATTACTCCATTCTCATCAAAATTATCTGCACCTGTTATAAAATCAAAACTAAAAACGTTACTGTTCTTAAAAATGGTCTTGATCTGGTTTTCACAGACCCACGACATCTGTGATTTGGCCATTGAAAAAAATATGTTGGGATTTGTTGTAGTTTTGCCTAACTTTCTCTATTTATAAAGAAAGATTTGTACAACACGACGTTTCCTTTTTATCTAGGCAAACTCTTCAGAACACTTCCTAAGAAATTAATTGTATTCCAGCCAGACTTGCATG